TCTTGGACTCTGGGAATGTGACGATCAGCTATTTTCAAGCCTCCAACCCAAAGCAGAACCTGATTTCTTCACAGATTATCTGTCTCATGTTTTACTGTCAGGATATAGTAGAAGTTTCTGCAAATATGACAAAACATATTTTTAGAAAAATTACATACTGCAGCTTTAATTTATGTTACTTTAAAGAAATAGTTGACTTTTGGTTTCATATGCAGCCGTTCTGTGTGTGTTTTATGGTGGGCACGGCCAGAATTGATGCTGGTAAGATAATTTGAAGCAAAGGGCCTGGGTCTGGCAACATGAGATTACACCCAGGTAAGTAAATGACAACCATCCACCTGTCCCTCCACCCCACCGCCCTCTATTTCTTCCTGCTCTTACCTGTCTGCCAAGGGCTGCCCCCTGGATGTCCTCCTGCTGCTGCTGGGCGATGGTGACACCAAGAACCAGGGTGTGGACCCCGCAGGATACAGTAGTGATGAGTACGATGGGTGTTAACCTCAAAGGCAGGGTCAGGAAAAAGGAGAAGCTGAAGAAAGCCTGCCAGCCCACTGTGTCGCTGGCCTGGTGGAAGCGGGCATAGTTCAGACCCAGGTAGCAGAAAATCTGAGCTGCTATGAGCACCCACAGGGCGTAGGGCACCACCCGTCTCGAGATGCGGTCTGGCAGCAGCCCGAAGCGGCACAGCAGGTAGAGGATAATATCCGCTGCCAGTCCCACAGAGGCCACTAAAACAGAAGCCAGCTTGTCAGTGGTATAGACCACTGCACACATGACGATGATGTAGCTGTCGAAGAGGGCGGCGAACACAACGAGCACTAGCAGGGTTTCGTGTCTCTGCCGTCTGAAATAGGTCTGGTAGAGGTTCTCCAGAGACTCAGGCGCAAAGGTGAGGCGCATGAACCGTGGCAGGCAGAGGCAGCATCCTGAGCTCCGAACTGTGACCTCATGTGTCCGCCCCACCGCCTGCCCGGGGTCAGAGGGCAGTGTCACTGAGCAGTCCGCTGAATACTCCGCTGAGTACTCCGGCTCCGAAAAGGCCCGGTTCCGAGGCATGGTAAACACTCCTTTTGATCAAAAAATGGGAAGCTGTTTGTCGTCCTGCAGGAGTAACGCTCAGGTACACATCATCAGCTTGTTTGTCTTCTGCTGAGTGACCACCGTTTTCCCCTGAGAGCCCACATGTGTGGCATGAATCCCAGCAGTGTGTTGATTGTCACGACCTGTACACAGGAGAGATGTTCTTACATAGCTGCGTCCACGCTCACTCCATCTAATGCTGCTGTTCGACTCAGTTAGTCCTGTGTTGTATGCACAGATCGAGCACGCCTACTCTTCTTCAGCAACGTGATCCAAAGAATGTGCACCTCTCGTTTCCTCATTCAGCCTTACGCCAGCACCTTTCCAACTTTGTACTCCACAGCTGTGTACCATGTCACAGTTACTGAATTCATTAACATTGGAACAGCTAAGTTGTTTGTATGGCGTCCTCTCTCGCCGTCATTCCTCTGGGTTGGACAACTTTTTGCATTTCGGCCTTCCATAGTCGCACCTCGCATTGCCTGAATAAAGGACACATGAGGAAGAAATTCACCATGGCTTAATCTCTCAGACACACAGAGGCATTTGTTTTCCATTCCATTTTCAAAACCTGATGAGCAGGGTAGGTACAGTGCAGTCCCTAAATCCTGCACCTGGCAACTACTGTCTGCTCTCCTCTCGCCAACATCCATGTCAATATCTAGCAGTTTAATATATATATATACACACATTTGTATTTCATTTGTATTTCAAGACACACTTGTTCTACATCTAATACAGCAAACATGTTTTTTTTAATCAAATTTGGACAGGTTTTCCCTAGCATCGTCTTAAACATCTTTTATCAGAATATCCCTACACTGATGTCAGCTGTCGGCTGGCTGAATGAAATAGATTCAAGCTGAGGTTAGTATTTAAGAGTGTAAAGATATATCGTGATACAAACGTGAAGATTCAAATCAAAAGATTCAAATCGGTAAGATGGAAAATAAATTGCGATATTAAACATGGTGCCAAGACCTCAAGTTTAACTCTTACAAAGAAAAGGAAATAAGGACTGTTTTACACAGTTTATACCCTACTACTACCTCAGAAAATAAAAAAAGATAAAGAAATATATTTTGCTGATTTTTGTCTGAGTAATAAAGGAATCTGTTTCAGTCATGTCTTCAATCTCATTTTGTAAAAAAAAAAAATAATCTTGTGAATGTCATGAATTTGAGTATCGTTACATTCCTATTTTAAGAGACATTTGTCCTACGTGTAACCCTACAAACATGTTTATTGTCAATCGTATTTGGACAGGTCTCCCTTGCACCGTCTTCTATAAAAAATATCCCTACACTGAGGTGACTGACAGCTGGCTGAATGAAATTAATTCAAGTTGAACATTTTAAGTTAGTGTGTACGAATGTAACGATGTCGTGAGACAAATATGTCAAGACTCAAATCAGTGAGATGAAAAATTAATCATGATATCATTTGTGGTATAAAGACATTTTTACACAGAAAGGAAATAGGCATTGTTCTGCACAATTTATATCTCAGAAGTAAAAAAGGATTCTTTCATTTGATAAAGAAAGAGAAAATAGAGAGAAATAAAGGAATCTTCTTTAGTCATAATTTGTCTTCAATCTCACTTTGTTACTATGTAAAAATCATGAGAAAAACACATTGTGATATATCAATATATACCAATATACCAATATGGTGAAGTGTATTGAATCATTATTTGAGGGTATCGTTATATTCCTACATTCATGTATTGTAAGACTCACTTCTCCTACATCTGACCAGTGTTGGGATAGTAACTTAGGAAATACATTTTATTACTTCTTACTCTTTCCAGAAGTAATATTCTTACTTATTACAACAGTAATTAGTTACACTTCTAGTAATATTACTTTTCTGATAGTTCCTAATTGGTAATTGTGTTCTTTCTCCCCAAAATGTTACAACTTATGACAATTCAATTCCAGTTTTGTTTGTTAAAATCAAAGTAAACGGAATATTTCCTGCTGCTGAATGTTTCCGTCTTCCAAACTAGTTTCCTCTACACTTACAAAAATGAATCCGAAGGTGTGACTGCATTGTTGGATTTCAAATTAGGAGAGGGGGGGATATTTTAATGGTAACTGTAATATCATTACTAACATTTAGAAGTATTTATTAATGTTGTCACTAGTAATTCCTTACTGCACAAATCTGCATCTCACCCATGAGAAATTGATTTTTCCCAGTCAGATTTGGACAGATTCCCCTTGCATCATCTTCCCCATCCTCTGTCCTCTGTCCCTACACTGAGGGGACAGACAGCTGGCTCATTCAGAGACATTCAGGCTGATAGTGTGAAGTGTTGTGAGTGTGAGTGTTATTTTAGTGGCTTTGCTATCTGTGTGGATAAAGCGAGGCAACCTTACACAGTGTGGGCGTCAGGGTCTGTCACACAGGGGCCACTCTGGGCTGCAGGCCTACCTCGCTACATGTTGCGTGTGCTCAGAAACACAGGTTGTGGAAACAGTGGACTCATGCTGTCCACACACATCCACACGGAGTCAGAGCTACCGATGACACCCACTCATCCAACAGAGCTGTTTAAATGGCTGCTCTAGCATCCCCAACGTTAACTGTGTACATTGGACCGATCTCAATCTGATTGTCCCTAATGTCCACTTCCAACGTCCTCTGTCTCACTTACATCACCTGCTCTGCTGGAAGCTCACATTGTGTCCCCGTTCTTCCAGATGCTGTGAAAATCATGGACACAATCTACACTGATGCATCCCGGACGCTTACCGTGTGTACAGCCACATTCGTTAGTCCCTTCAGACAGATGTGGGTGTCCTCGGGCCGCAGGGACACAGCAGCCTACATGTGTCCAACCTTAGTCCGGATGAAATGAAAAAATGGCTCAAGGAAAGTCGCCTCGACGGGTACACAAACCCCCTCTTGGTCTTGGGTGTTTTCCGCAGAAGACACGGAACAGCTTCACCGTCAAACTACACGCAGTGAGAACAACACTTCCGCTCGCTTTCAAAATAAAACCTGTATTCGCGATAGTGCCTTCTCAAGCCGGGAGAGAGTAAAACGTCTTGTAGACTCGCCGTTCCCGACAGTGATGTATGACTGGGAGACGCTTTCAGCTTTAGGAACTTTAGGAAGCAGATGCGATTTCTGTTAGTGTGATCCCCCCCCTCGTGAGGATAAGTGAGCTCCCCGAAAGCCGTTGTATAGTTTGCACACTGCTTTTTATATGGATGAATGATTTTAATAGTTTATTAAGTGAAAAAGAAAATTCAGACCCAAAAATAATCATTCCCATTAATTGTGAATCATATCGCAATATCTGTCAAAAAAAAAAAAGTGATACAAATATTGTATTGCATTTAAGCACAGCTGAACATGAAAGTTCATGCTTGCCTTTGGAAATTATGCAAAAGAAAACTTATCTCAAGGTCTACTAACTAGCCTTTCCAAAGCTTTCAAACGCATCTTATTGTCCTTGTAGTGGATGGAGTTTGCTCTGTTGTCATGGAAATAAAGTTGTGACAAATGAAGTTGCTAGTAAGTGGACCTTGAGTCAAGATTTGGTTGCTTGTTTTTTATCATCTCAGCATAGGTCTGTGCTACATTCTATGAAGGCAGTTATCCAACTGTTTATCATTACTAACAATGTTTGCTTTGTCCAAGTCTCACACACCGCTCCAGCTTCAGCAGACCGCTTGGAAGAATTTAATATCTCAAATAAATCTGTCTTAACGCATACATTTTGATGTTCATTGGTGCCGAACTATTATGCTTTTATTTTGATAGTGAATATGCAAACGCTTCCGTATCGCGCTGGCGTTTCCTGTCTAACTTGACGCGGCCACTTCTCCATATCCACATTTTCTCCCTCAGTATCCCCGCCCCCTGAAACCATCCCCGCCTCCTTACCTCCACCCCCCCGGAGGTTAGGGTCGGAACATGGACAATATATATAAGTATGCAAAATAAGCTGTGTGCATGTGTTGATGAAGAATGGCAGCCTCTCTGCTCTCTGTTAGCTGAGGGTCATATTTCAACTAATTTCTGTGTTTACTAAAATAATGTTTAATTAGTTCTGGTAACAATTAAACCAACAGTTACAATAAGACCTTTAGACTATATTGGGAGCAAATTGGGGATCAGTGTTTGCCTGGCCCCATGTTTAACACATTCATTTTGAGACATTTGTGCAGTGGTCACATTCATAATGGAGATTCTGTAATGAGGAAGAGGAAGACCAGTTGCATTTATTATTATACTGTCCATATGTTGTAAGTTTGTAGACAAATTTATTATTTTGACTTATAAACATTATTTTGGGGGTTCTGGAAGAAAAACAAGCTTCTCTGATATGTAATGCAATTATTCTTTTGGGTAAAATATTTATGTTTAAAGCTCAATCAAGAATTAAATTCAATTCAGTTCAATTTTATTTTATAGCGCCAATTCATAACAGAAGAAGAATGGCAGGAGGCTCCACCAGGATCCATGAGAACCTGCGAGACGAGAAAGCACAAGAACTCCAGAGAAGAAGTGAAGTTAGTAACATGTAT